CCCCCCCCCCCCCCCGTTGTTGTTGTTGGTGTTGTTGCGTGCGTGTGGGTGTGGGCGGGCCGTGCTGCCCCCTCGCGCCGTCTGCGCACGGCCGCACGCACACAGATAGAGAGAGATATGGCGGGAGGAACCGGGCGCTCCGCCCTGCGCGGTGGGGGAGGAGGGGGGCGATGAGCGCCCGGAGGCCCCATTAGTCATGTGCGCCGCAAGAAAACACCAATAACAGCAGTGCAGCAAGAGCATCGTGGAGAGGCGACCAAAACGGCCAGCAGCAAACAAACAAACAAAACAAAACAACAACAACAANAAAAAAAAAGATTTTCAGTAGGAAAAAAAAAATTGGGCAAACAAAGTCGACGCGTGTAGTTAGAACTGCTGCAGCAGCAGGAACGAATGTGTGTGGACATGCGGGAGACGCACACGCAGAGAAGCACGCCGGGCAGACAGCGAGAGACGTCCCCCGCCCCCTGCGCGGTGTCTTCCCCCTCGCAGCCGCCCTCCTGACTTCCGTTGCGCATGCGCGTGAGCAGGCACCGTGTGGTTGCGTGATCTCTCCATCGCCATCATCATCATCATATTCGGTTTCTACGCGGTATTATTTTCTTTTTTCTTCTTGCTTCTGTCTCCTTGCAGTTTGGCCTTCATTCCTTTTCCTTTCTCTCTCTCTCTTCTTTCCTTCATCGAACTTCATTTCCGTCCTCTCGCTCTCACGTACCTCCTCGCAGAAGCGTCCATCTCAGTTAAGATTATTATGCGTCTCTTCTTTTTTCTTAACATTTATTTCGCCCCTCTCATTTCCCTCTGAGAGGCACCACAATTCCGATGAATTTTCCTGCATTGATTTGCTGTCCCTTGTGTACCGCCGACAGACATACACAGGCGTATATATATACAGACAGACATATATAGATAGATATATATAAGCCCCGTTGTTGTTGCTTTCCTCCTCCTCCTCCTCCTCCTCCTCGTCATCACACCTCCGCCACCGTGCAGCCACACCAGCTCTACTCACGCGACTGCAGTGCACGGCCGGGGACGCGCTCACATCCACCACGGCGCCGTGTTGTCCTCACACTGCGGCTCTGCCGGCGTCTGCAGCAGGCCGCAGGCATACGGCTCGTGGCGGTACTGACAGGGGCCGGTTATCACAATGCCCCTCGGTGCGATCTGCTGCCGCATGTAGTATGACGAGTAGTAGCCGTCGTTGTAGTCGTAGCTGTAGTCATACGCCCACTGGCGTCGCATCTTCGGCGCGCGCGGGGTGGAACGGTAGCGCGCCCACGGGGCGGATCCCCACTTGTCCTCCTTTCGTTTTCGTTGGGTCGGCTGCGGTTGTTGCTTGTTTCGTTCCTGTTTTTGCTCCTCGCACGGGGGGGCTTCAGAGGAGGTGTGCTCCTCCGCCGGTACGGCTGGGGATGGAGCCGTCAGAGCCGCCTCCACAGCGGGCGGAGGCACCGCCATTCGTGTCTGCTCTTCTTGTGGTTCCTTCCGATCGCCCTCTTCCTCATCCACCTGCTGTTGCTGTTGTTGCTGTTGCTGTTGTTGCTGCTGCTGTTGTTGTGCCATGGCGCGCTTACGCTTGATGGAGGGCTTCTCCGGCATCTCCACCACCACAGCCTGCCGCGGGAGGTTATTCGGGCGGAACGGGCGCCCGCCGACATCCTGCGCGTGTTTCTGCAGCCACGCCTTGCTGCACGGTGGGGCGAGCAGGTAGACCTCCTCGCCACGCTCATTCACGTCGAGGAACAGCAGCTTGTTGAACCCCATCAGCCGCTTCGCGTCGCTCTGCGAGGTGACAAACACCCATGAGCAGCCCTTGCCGCGGCCGTTGAGTGGGTTGGTGTGTGCCTCCATGTGCGGGATCGCCATGTCCGGCACGAGGAAATTCAGCAGGTGCCGCAGCGACGACGGGTGGTTGTCGCGCCGCTGCTGGCCAAAGAAAAGCCGGATGGTCTTCGCCGGGACCACGGACGCCTCCGCCGAGGTGTCGGCGTTGTTGTTGTTGTTGTTGTTGTTGTTGTTGCTGTTGTTGTTACCGGTGTTGGTGTTGCTGTTGCTGTTGCTGCTCCTGCTCCTGCTGCTGGAAGAGTTCGCCTCGTAGCGGTGCACAGGCGAGGGGCGGCCGGTATAGGCGGGGATGCTAAGCACACCCTGCTGATTCATCCCAAAGTAGCGCGAAACAAGGCGGTTAATGGCCTTGCTGGTGGCGAGCAGCGCCACCACCTCCGGCAGCGCCGCGAAGGCGAGGATGCCGAACAGCACCGAGTCGGGCAGCCGCCCGAGGTCGCCCATCTTGTGGCGGTCGCCGGCGGTGGCGTGCAGCGGCGGCGTTAGCGCCACCGACGAGGAGAGACTGCCGGGCGCCAGCAGGAGCGAGGGGCCGGCGGGGCCAACGCTGATGCTGCTACTGCTGCTGGTCGTGCTGCGGCGGTCCGTGTCGCAGCCAATCGTCGTCATGGTCATGCACCCCTCTTCGTCCTCGTCGCTGCTGCTGCTGCTGCTGCTGCTCCTCCTTGCACGCACAACCTTCGCCTCATTGTCGCTGCGCTCGTCATCCTCGTCCTCCTCCTCGTCCTCATCCTCGTCGCGGTGCTGCTGCGCCGCGCCCTCCATCGGCAACACGGCGGCGCTGCACATCTCCGCGTAGTCGAAGGCGTGGTCGCCGCGCATTCTGGCGTCGGTGCGATCCGTGGCGTCGCAGCCGCTGTCGCAGCCGAACGCCAGTGGGGACATCTCCGCAATGGCACCGGAGGACGAAGCGAGCTGGTCGAGTGTTGGCGTCATCGTCGGCAACGCAACGGAGACGATGAGCAAGATACCCAACAAGCGTGAGCTGTGCATCCACGGCTGAGGTGAGGCAGTGCCGTTGGTCTGCGGCACCCCGTTGTCTCCGTCGGTGCTTGTGCTCTCATTTTTGTCACCGGGGATGATGATGTTGCTGGTGTTCATCCTGTTTGTGATCCTCTTGCTGTTGCCGCTGCTGCTCTTTGCGTGGTTGTGGCTGCCGGCGACGGTGGTCCTGCATCCCGGCCCCGCCGTTAACGACTGCGGGGCTGCAGCCGTTATGGTCATTCTTGATGGATTGGTCTGGCTTCTCGGTGTTTCGTTCCCACTAGCCGTGAAGGTATCGAGTTGAGCGACGGCTTGGCTTGGTTTGTCTGTCTGTATGTCTGTGTGTGTGTGTGTGTGTGTGTGTGTGTTCGGGTCGCTTGTGGCGATAACCTACAGCGTGCGTGTGGAAGAATCCCAACCACCAACAAGAGCAACAAGCAGAGGGCAACAGAAAAAAGAAACAGAAGACACGAAGGCGATACGAAGGCGAACGAACCGCCGAGGCACGCACACACGCTCCAGGTCGTCCCCTGTAGCGGGGCGGGCGCCATGCACAGCACGATCACGCAAGTAAAACATGCGGGCGCGGGTGGGCGAGCCCCTCCCTCAGCGTGACGGCATCGCGTCCGCCACTTCTGCTGATGCAGCAGCTGTCATCAATGCTGCCTGCCTCTCAGCACACGCCGCCGCACATCCCACGCTCCTTCTCCCCACCCACAGCCAGATACACAAACACACAGAGTCAGGCAACAGAGCAGCACAGACACACCCACCCCCACCCCACACACACAACGACACAGAGCTCCGCACCACATCCCACGGCCCCTGCCGCTGTCCCCTTCGCCCCAGCACGTGCAGGTACGCGAGTGGAGAGCGGCAGGGGCGGGGAGAAAGTGAAACGAACCGAGGTGGTCAAAGATGGTGGCACTGATGGTGATGACGGGGGATGAAAAAAAAAAAAACGAGACGAAAAATAAATCCAGGCGCTTTGAGAATACGCTCTGCGAGCGACCATAAAAACTTACACGGGAGAGTTCCTTTTTTTTTTTTTCTTCCCTGCGCCTGTGTCTTCATTGCGGTTAGATGCTCACCCCATCACGATCCATCGCGTAGATATCCGCGTTTGATCCCGGCGACGCGGCGTGCATGGAGACCCACGCGTGCGACGACTGCTTCATCGAAAGAAACGCGAGGTAGTGGTCGCAGCAGTAATCTATCCACACATAGTTCGTCTCCATCGCGGCGACAGCGTTGACGAGCAGGTTGGGATGCCCCGCCGCCGGCCCAGGCACCGCGTCCACCACGTTGTTGCTGTTGGCTTCAGGAAGGGCTGCCACGAAGGACTTCATGAGGGCAATCAGGTTGCTGTCGCTGCAGAACGCCGCAACATGCATCACGAGGAGTCTTCTGATTACACCTAGCCGCGGTATCATCTCGCCGGCCTCCGGGGCCTCAAACAGCCACGTGATGAGCCGCTTGTTGCGCAGTATCGCCTTCGCGATGGGCGTGTTGAGGCGCGTGAAGTGCTGCAGCACGCCGACGAGGAACGGCAATGCACTGCTGCTGTCAAGCGCAAATACCGCCGGCGCGACCATGTTGATCCAGCGCCGCTCCCCCTTCTCGCCGAGGTGGGAAAAGTGCACGTCCACCTCCTCACAGCGCAGCTCCACCGCGGCGCGCCTCAGCGGGTGGCCCAGCAGCCGGGCAAGCACGCACGCAAGCGTCCACCAAGCCTTCATGTCGCCATGCTCCGTCAGGCACTGCATGGCAATGCTAGCGGCAGTCGTGTCAACGTCGTCACTAATGTCGAAGGTTACAGCGCGGTACGCCGCAGCGCTGCTGCTCATAGCAAGATTTGGCAGCACTGAGGCCAGCGCCCAGTCGACAAGTTGCCTCGACTCGTCGATGATCATTGAGCTGCGGCAGATGGCGAGAACCTGTAGAATGTGCAGCACCGTTTGCCGCGACAGGTTTGTCTGTGACGCGAAGGAGACTGTCTTCTCCTGCACGGCGAACGAGACAACCCCGCGTTGCACGAGGGGTGCGTAAATGGTGCATACAAACTGAGAGAATATACCCCAGCAGGGGTAGTCCCGCACGATGTACGCCATACGCTCCATGTGCTCTGTGATGTACTTCCACTGCGAGGCGTTGGTGAAGCTGCGCTGTGAGAGCAGCAGCAGCCACTCCAGCAGCAAGGTGCAGCGGTCGCTGGGTTCGCTGCTGTCATGCCCAATGTGCATGCTTCGGAAACGGAAAAGCGTCATGGTAATCACAGTGCGGTCCTCTGACGAGAGGAAGGGGGATATCTCAAATATGCGGAGCCACGTAGCCGTATCGTAGTCGCACCGCAGTACACCTGTGCCGCGGTAGTTAAAGTAAATCAGCTGACCGGGTGCCCCCGTGATGGTCTCCCGCGATGCGCGCATATAATACGGCCGCGCAAACGACGAGACCCCGGGCCGCACCTCCATGATGCTCACAGGCACCATGTAATCGGACCGCTTAAGAAACTTTTCGGGGTCCCACGCAAAGCTTCGTGTGTATCGTGGGGTCATTAAGTCCACAGGAGACCTGCCGTCGCACCGCTGTTGCTGCTGCGCTTTCACGTACGCTGGTAGGATGCCCTGTCGCAGGTCCGGCGACTCGTACTGCGTCACGCGGCACGCACTTTCCAGATGCTCCACATACAGCAGCGGGTGACCGCTCCGCTCAGTGTAGCGAAGCACCGCAGCAACATCCTCGTACTCCGCCGGGGCGCACTCCTTGTCGCAGATGCAGTCGAGGAACACTTTATCGTCCAATACCCTGCTGCTAGAGCGCTGAAGAAGACAGTGTGCTGCTTTCTGCAGCCGGTCGCGTCCAAGAAGAGAGAAGAGCATGCGCAAGATGGAGGCGCCTTTGCCGTAGCTGATGGTGTCAAAGGATCCATCGATGCAGCGCGGCTTCGAGTTGCAGTACTGGACTGGGTGCGTCTTGTCCGGCTGTGCGTCGAGCACGAGCACATCGTCTAGTATCTGCGTGAGGAACTCGTCCCATATAAGCCAGTTGGGAAACACTGCGTTAACGAACATGAACTCAAGATAGCGGCAGATGCCCTCTTTAAGCCACAGGAACTTCCACCACGCGATCGTGGCCCAATCGCCGATCCACTGGTGTGCCACCTCGTGACCAATAAGCCGCGCAATCCGCTGCCGCCGCTCCAGCGGCGTGGACTCATCCACGAGCAGGTACTCCTGGTGCATGGTGATCATCCCCCAGTTCTCCATACCCAGTGCGCAGAAGCAGCGCAGGCCGATGAGGTCAAGCTTCTGCAGCNCTCCTGGTGCATGGTGATCATCCCCCAGTTCTCCATACCCAGTGCGCAGAAGCAGCGCAGGCCGATGAGGTCAAGCTTCTGCAGCGGCAGTGGAAAGTCGTAGTAATCGTCGAAGAAGTCCACCGCCTTGGTGAGGAGATCGAGAGCGTACCATCCCTGGTTCACCTGCAAATCAGCGGGGAAAAGGACACGGCAGAGCAGCCGGTGTCGACTCGCCTCCTTCTCCACAATGTGAAACTTCCCCGTGCTGAAGCCGATAGCAGAGGTGCTGAGCTGTGGGGTCTCGTCAAAGGTGATGCGGCGAACGAAGTATGGGTGCTGGCCGCTTCCACTACCATCGAGCGACTGGCACTGTTGTTGGTGTTGAAGATGACAGGAATGCATATGATGATAATCATGATGATGATAATGTTGAATATGATGAGAGAAGGGGTGAAGATGATGGCAATTTTGCTGCTGTTGTGGTACAGCCGTGGTGGCCTCCTCGTCGGCACCCAAAGAGCCGGTCGCTGCTGTGTGCAGCAGTGGCGGGGTCGAAGCCGACGCCCCAGCACCAGCCGCAGCCGTGTTGCCGCCACCACCGCCGTGAGACGGTGTGGTGGAGGCCACGGGCCCGAAAAAGGCGACGAAGACATCCTCGTCGACCGCCACGATCTCCTCCCGCACAGGCTGCGTTCCCGACACAATCATGTAGCGGCCGTCGAACTCCACCGTGATTTGAAACACCGCGCGGAACGGCGGCTCATCGAAGCACGGGAACAGCCGCCGGGCGTTGGTCGGCTCGAAGTGCGTCGCGAGGAAGTTCCCGTCGTACGTGTTGGAGAAGAACAGCCCACGCGACACCTTCGATTTCTGAATGGCCCCCGAAAAGTGCGAGAAGCGCAGCGCGAAGGTGTCGCCCACCCCGTTCGGCAGCGGCACGGCGAACTCCAGCGTGACTGTCTCGTCCGCGGGGACGCTGTACACGGCGAGGCAGTGCTGCCCCTCCGCCTCGCCGTCGGCTGCTGTTGCCGCCAGCGTCACGTGCTGTGGGTCGATGCGGAGCTGCAGCGCGTGTAGCGTGACGCGGCGCGTGGGGACGGGCAGCGACGCCGCAACAGCAATCGTCACGACGGCAGAGCCGACAAACGCCTCCTCGGCGGGGCGCGGCGCGAAGAAAAGGTCGTAGCGGCGCGGCAGAAAGTGCCGTGGGAGGCGGAAAACACCAGCCTCCTCCTCCTCATCCTGCCGTTGCAGGTGTGGGCGGTTGATGTCCGACATGGTATCACGTGCTGTGTGGCGTGGACCACAGACGCCTAACAAAAATCTGGGCCGAAGTGCCTATGCAGATATATAGATATATCTATATATATATAGATATATGCCTGTATGTGTACGGGTGTACAGTGCGATCAAAACTACAAATGCAAGAGAAACACAAACACACTCACTCACACTCCTCCAACTAACTAACGCAATGCCAACAGAAAAAAGAGAAGACTAAACGCGATAAATCGTGTCGGCGTGTGTACGTATATATACTTTACTCCTTCTGGTTCCCTTTTTGTTTCGCTTCGTTTTATGCTTGTGCAGTGGATTGCGGCACACGCCCAGTGCACCGTTGTAGTCAATCACTGTGCCTGTGTGTGTGTGTGTGTGTGTG